GCCTGGAATGCCGAGTTGAGGAGCTGGGACTTTTCATTAGGTAATGGGAAATCGTGGGAGGATTTTGAGCTAGGGAGTTGTTTATCCATAACTGTGCTCTTAGATGTTAGCTTGGCAGCTGTATGTTAGGACAGGTTGGAAAGGGCAGAGAAACCAGTAAGGAGGCTAGTGTCCCAAGCAACACTTATTGAAAGTATAAACTGAGGCCTTGAATGGAAAGGAAGGTTCTGATCAAAGAGAACTGTGAAAGAAGAATAGAAGGGATTTAGGAGTCCTTTAGACTGGCAGGAAGGGGAGGAGTCAAAAGATAAGTGAGAGTTTTAGCCTTCCTAGAAATGAGGAAGTCAAGAGGGTGGGAATGAGCATTTATTAAGCTCTTGGCTTGTACCAGGCACTGTGCTAAGTGCTTTACAAATATTACCTCATTTGATCCTTATAACAACCTTGGGAAATACATGCTATTTTTATCCCCATTTTACAGTTGAGGAAACTGAGGCAAATAGCAGTTCTGTGATTGCCCAGGGTCACACACAACTAGTAAATGTTTGAGGCCAAATTTAAACTTAGCTCATACTGACTTAATAATTAATGATCATAGCTAATGTTTATATAGTGCTTACTGTATGCTGGATACTGTGCTAATCAAACGCTTTACAATTGTCATCTCATTTGGGCCTCAAGAACAGCCTGAAAGGTAGATGCTATCATTATCCCTATTTTACAGATGAGGAAACTGAGGCAGTGGTTAAAATGACTTGCCCAGGATCACACGGCTAGTAAGTGTCTGAGGATGGATTTGAATTCAGGTTTTCCTGACTGGAGGCCCAAGGCTCTACCTATTGTGCCACCTCGTTGCAAGGAGCCGCCTCGCTTGCCACTGGATTCCAGAAACTCTCAAATAGCAGGTTTCTTGTGATGGTTGCTCTGGGGTGAAAGAATGCACTATTCAGCCATTGAGCACTTATAACTTTAGCGGACCCCAATTAACCTTATCAGGCCAGCTGTTAGAAACCTGTGTATTTTTGTTTTTCACTGTATCCTCTCTCTTCCAACCCAAGATAATTCTGTGTTGCTAATTCTTTGAAAAATATGAGGAGGTAGAGGAGTTTGTGGAGATAAACCAAGGTCATTTAGACTTGTTGAATCAGAGGTGCTAGTTACACCTCAATTCACTGAAGACTATGAGAAGTTTAGATTCATAGAAGTGCCTTAGATCTAGATTTGATAATCTCCTGTCCAGAGAGGGATAATTGTAATTATGGAAGTGGTCATTAAATGAGGGAGTATGAAAAGAGAAATGATGTCTACTTTAGGGAACAGTAACTTTTAGGAATGGGATGAGGAGCCTTGAAATGGTAACAAAAATTCTTATATAGCCCTAATAAATGTTTGTGTATTTGAATACAGACCCTTCAAATTTGGTGTGGTGGAAAAAGCATCAAATTTGGTATCTGAGTATAAATTTACTACTTTCTGACTATGGTCACAACCTTGCCCCCCTTCATACCTTAACTATATGGATTTCCTCATTTGTAAAAATGAGGGACTTGGTCTCTGAAGTTTCTTCCAGGTTTTAATCCAGTGGTGGATTTGGAGTCAGAGAGTTTGATGTCTCTCATTTTCTGATAAGGATGAAATGTAGAATCATAGTATTTGAGAATATCAGATCTCTAAAGTATTGACCCTACCTGGAATATTCTACACATAATTATTCTGAGAAAGATGTTATATTAATGTGAGCTGCTGTCATTATCAACATCAACTGGTGTACTTATATATTTAAGTTGCCTCTTACTAGACTGGAAACTCCTTGGGGGCAGGGAGCATTGTTTGGATCATCTTTATATACTTTCTAATAAAATACCTCATAGGTCATAAATACTATTAAGTAAACATTTAATCTGTTTTTCAGTCCCTCAGTGAATATTATTGTTGAATATCATAGGAGTAAATAAAAAAAAACAAATTTAACCCAAGTGAAGTGACATAAAAGAGTTGGATTTTGGTTTTGTTTGTTTTTTTTTATATCAGCCATATGAAATTTCTATCCACAAGTATTCTTTTCTCTTCTGGAATCAACTAAACTGAGCTGACTAAACTGGCTTGAAATGTTATCCCCTAGATTACATCATTTTGGATTCCAGTCACAATTACCATAACAGAAATCAAAGGATTAGTTAAAAGACTGAGGGCGATCTGATAAACACATTAATGGTCTAGGAACAAGCTACAAATCAAGAAAAGTAACATTTAGAAACTTTAAGGGCAATAGTTTGTCTAGAAAAGGGTCCATCTGCTGAGATTCCAGTTTTGGCAGGAAAATAAATCTATCAATATTGAAGGCACACTTACATCCTGGCTCTAACATCAGTGATTTAGGAAACAGACATTTTATATATGAAAACTGTGTTGCAAACTGGAGTCTACAACATTTTCCAAACCCTTAGCTTTTTTTTTTTCTGCTTTGATAAAAATATCCTTTCTCTGTAAATCTGCTATTTGATTCATGATTGGTAGTATCAAGGAGATAAAATAAAATCACTATTTACAAGAAGGAGATGATGATGAGAGATGATAATATGCTTGGCTAGCCAGGATGAAAAAAAGAGAGAAAGCAATTATAATATTCATTTGTATTCTTGTTCTTCTATTAGTTATAGAAATCATAATGAAAAGAAATTCATTTTTTATTTTATGATCATTAATGTATAAAGTTATTGTATAATGTTTTAACTAGCATTCGAATATCACAAAATCACTTGATCATAGTTCTGGCCTTCCCTCCTCCCTTTTTTACTTTAAAAACAACAACAACAACAAACCTAGAATTTTTCTCCCACCTAATTAACAGGAACAGATCAGTTCCCTATCTTCTAACTTTCTTTAAATTATGGAATAATTAAGGTGCCCAAACACTGTGGGTAATTTGGTTGTAAATAGTGGTTTTCTATTCAAGGGTTCTATTTAGGTAGATAGCCCAATGATGGAGGGAGGGACAGCATGAAATAGAATTAGAATAATAAATTAGTGAATTCAACAATTCAAGTAAAACATTTTTACATTTTATTAATCTTGAATAGTATTTATTTCTATTTCTGTGGTGTCTTTGTGACAAGCTAGAAGACTAACTTGTTAATAACAAATAGATTTTTTTTTCCCAGATGGCTGCATCAGTAATGTACCAGATAGCTCTTTTCCTTTCTTTCCTCACTACAGCTATAAGCAGTATAAGGTAATATCTCTGGAAAGGGCTTTAATTCTTTCAGGTGCCAGGAGTATTTGAATAGCTTACCTAATGGTGAGAAATAGAACCCTAAAAACCAGGAAGAGTGCTCAGTCTAAACCAGGGCATATTCAGGCATTAAAACATCCAATTTAATCATCTTAATAAAACATTGGAACATTTTAGGGAACACTATTAGATATCTATTTTGAGCCTCCCTTTAAAGGTAGGGAAGATGGGGAAAAATCAATGCCAACCATTTACTGGAATAGGATAAATGATACGCAGTTTGGAGATTAAAGGCATTATTTATAAGCCATTAATGATCATAGTGGCTTGAGTTGTTCTGTGCCATAAACAATATTATAAGCATAAGTATTCCTGGAGGCTTATGTATGTAGCAAGAATAAATGACAAGAAATGTTACTAGGACATTACAAAAAAAAAAAAAGGAAAGTTTCTCTAGTATCTTCGTTTAGTACTTTATGGAAGTGTTATAGGAACATGGTTAAGAACTGCATAGTTTTAATTATTAGACTAATACCCCCAAAAAGATCCAAGGAAGAAAAAAAAGACCCACATGTGCAAAAAGTATAGTTATTGAAGCTGTTTTTGTTGTAGCAAAAAAACCCTGGAAATTAAAGGGCTGTTCATTAATTGAGAGAATGGCTGAACAAATGGTATGTAAATATAATATGATACTATTATGCTATGAGAAATTATGAAAAGGATGGCTTCAAGGAAGATTTGTATGACCTGATGCAAAGTAAAGTGACCATAACCAGGTAAACGATTTTTACAGTAACTGTTAAGAGAAACAACCAGGGAAGACTTAAAAGCTCTGAAAACATAGTGACCAACCTTGTCCTCCAAAGGCCTAATGATGAAGCATACTGCCCACTTCTTGAGGGAAAAGTGATAGACTCAGGGTACAGAATGAGTTGTTGTTATTATTATTTTTTTTGGATACAGCCAATGCAGGAATTTGCTTTGCGTGACCATGTGTACTTGTCACAAGGATTTTGTTTTTCTTTTTTTGAGGGAAGGGGGTAGGGAGGAGGGAAGTAGGAAAAAAATGAATTTTTTTTTTAAAAGAATCTCATAGAACAAGAACATGGTAGAGATTGTGATCGACATCAGAGTAGGGAAAATCTGTATCAGTGAAAGCATGATTCAAAGTGTCAAACTAATGAAATTTAAGCTCAAGATTACCAAAGAGGTAAGGCAGCTAGCTGGGTCATGCAGTGGATAGAGCACTGGGCTGGGAGGCCATTTTATTCTAGGCAGCATGAGTAACAAATAGCTTAACATGGATATTGCTAGTAGAAATAGGAAGAGGTGACAGATTAAAGAAATTGTGTTAATACAGTTGATGGGGCTTAGTGGTTGAGATTAGTTTTTGAGACATAGGTAGGATAATTGGTAGACTGTTGCAAATGTGATACTGAAACCGAGGGCTGGAACTAGAATTTTGTTAATCATTTTCAGCAGTTGAGGTTAGCCTGCCAATGGAGAGAGAACTACTTTGTTCTATGACATATTCTATCTTCAGTCAACATTTAGTAACTTTCCATTTCTTTGAATTTTTCACATTTTATTCTTAATAAAAGAGGCTAATGTTGGAGACACCGTAGAAGTACTCAGAAAGTCTGTGTATGACATACATACTCTGCCACCATAACATTCAGACTTTAGATGATAATATTCTTTGAAATAAGGCTTTCCTGTATTTTTTCTAATACAAGAAAACTAATGAATCCTTTTGTTTCATTTTTAGCTCAGTCATTAAAAGAATTTGCTCGATTACTTATTGCAGTAGAAGAAGAAAGGAGAAGACTGGTATGTATTATTTTCTGCCATTTTGAAATGTAGCTATTTGTACAAACTCAGAAATGATGGAGCACAATCTATTTATTTTTATTTATTTATTTAGTCAACGATTTATGTGATTTGGCACATTTTGCAAAACCCCAGCATATTCACATTTTAAGCTTCTGTAATGTATGAATTCTAGAAATAGGCACTTAATAAATACTGGTTGACTAACCTACTAAAATAAAACAGCATCAAAGAGTAATTGTGGTTGCTAATACATGCAGACACATTTCAGTAGTTTCCATGATTTAAAAGGATGGAAGAGTGAATATTTTGTAAGTCAGTATCATTGTTAGGCAGTGTTTTTTAATCTTAATTTTTTCACCATTTAGAGTTGTCTTCATTTATGTAGCTGTAGTACTTGTATTCTTTGTTCTTTCAGTTCTGCTTTGTTCATTTTGTATTACTTTGTCTTACGATGCTCTTTCAATCTTTCTTAGTCATATACCTTATTCCGTTAGTGGTATTCCAGATCATTCACATGCCAGAATTTGCTTAGCAGTTTTTCAGTTGTTGTCTCCATCATTCTGCTGTTTATAAATAATACTGCTGTGATTTTTTTTTTTGCATAGCTAGGTCTTTTCTTTTTGTCAATAAACCTCTTGTAGTTTATTGATTTTTAGTCTCTGGACGCAGGGAAGGAACATTTATTAAATTAGTTAGAATTGAACTATAGAAGTAGAAAGAGATCTTAGACATCAATTACTGTACCTCTGATTCTTTTCGTACTTTGAAAAATACCAATTTCATTGGTGTGGATGCCCATTCCACTGATGCAGATTGTAATTACTCCATGGTTTCATAGATCACTTACTTTTATGGCAGAACAGTTTGTCACATGGTAGCCTACCTTCTGATGGTGAGCCTCTTTGGATTCAGTCTCCTCTTCAGATGATGAACATGTCATCAGAACCATGTTCAAAATGGTGATTCTATTTTTTGCTAGCATCTAGAAGTCACATTAAATATTATCTTCTTTGGGGCCTATTCCTCTATTACTTTCCTGAAAGATAACTTTTGCTTACTGGAAAAAATGAAATCTTTTGAAACTCTGAATACCAAATAGAATGTGAAGGAAAATCTGAAGGTGGAATAGAGGTAGAGGATAGTTTTGTTCATGTCATGAGCCTGAAGGGTGCTTTTATTTGATGTAGAATTATATAGAAAATGTATTTTCATTTGAACCATCCCTTAGTAAGGTGCTTATTTTCTGTTTCATGTAGGTTGATGTGTGTTTTTGCACCGTTAAATTTTATAAAAAAGAAAACATATAAATGTGTGTTTTATTAAAGAGCTTAAGTTGTACGGTCTTCTTTGAACATTTTCCTAGTAAAAGGAATATTTTTACTTAGTTAATTTAAAAGAATAATGAAACTTTTGGGAAAGAAATCAGATCAGTAGTTTTGCTCCTCAATATTTTCTCCAGATGAATCCAAGAAAAATGAACACTGAAGTTTCCATGGAGATTGTGCACATAATTCAAAGTGCACCTGGGCAAATGCAAAAAATAAAATAAAAATCTAATGACTCTTAAGCAAAAAAAAAATCTGAATTTTTTTTCAAGCCTAGGATATTTTAACTTAATAAGTTATTATGAACAGATGTGCCATAGTCATTTCTAGCTTCATAACATTCACATCCCTTCTCTCCATTCATGCAGTCACTACCACAGGACAGAACTAGTACAAAACAGAACAGAATTCATCTTTCAAATCTAAACTCCCTTCTCTCTTCTAAATTTCCCTAGCATTTTCAAGTACACTTTCAGGTACATCACCATCTCCTCATTACCCAGGCTTATAACTTCAACGTCATCTGTGACAACTTAGCCACATTCACTCCAAACAGCCAATCTGTTTCCAGGTCTTGCTATTTCTACCTTCACAACTGTTCTCATATGTGCTCCCTTCTCTCTACTCACACAGGCGCCTTCTTGCTACAGGCCCTCATCACCTTACAACTAAGCTATTGCAATAAGCTTCTGGTTGCTTTCCTGTTTCAGTTCTTCCCCAACTATGTTCCATCCTGTATTCAGCTATCAAACTGACCTTCCTTAAGTGGAAGTCTTATGATGTCACTCCCTCACCCTATTCATTAAATACCAGTGGGTCCTTTTAGCTTCCTACACCTGTCGAAGTGGTTTGGGAAATCATGGAAATTGTAAATGGAGTCATAGGGCAATTAATTGACACACTTTTCTCTGGAAGGTACTTGTTGATTTGATTACAGTTCCCAGAACTGGAAGTTAAAATGGCATGGCTACTTGGTGTGATATGGCAGGAAGATGGCCAGAGTGCAACAGTGGAAGATGAGGTTATCTAGTTGTAGTTAACTTTCAGCACCCTGGAAAGCATGACCCCAGGGTAAGGGCTAAAACTGGAGTTGTAGTTAAGAAGAAGAGGGAGGTGGGGGAAGGACAGATATGTGTGGAGTAGCTGCAGCAGTCCCCCTAATAGAGCCACATGCAGGATGGTGGCTGGAGTGCTGCAATAGAATCTGATGGAATATAAGCCCCTTGAGTTCCTAGGACATAGTAGGTACTTACGAAATGATTGTTGATTGAATATTCTCTGTCTCAGTGTGCCAGTTGCTCCATGCATAGATTGGACCTTTTCATTCATGATCCCTTCAAAGAAGTTGTACCTTCTGTGAATCAAAAATGTCTCCATTTGCTCTTGTCTTTTGCACTCAATAATTCAACTTGTATTTAATTGCCCCACTAGTTTACAAGTTTCATGAGAACAAAGACTGTTTTCTTTTTTATCTCTGAATGCCAGACATCTATCATAGTGCCTTGCACCTATAACTTGTACTTTCTTAATAAATGTGACTTTAATTACAATTATAATATCCCAGAGTTGAAAAGGAACTTGAATGTCAACTCTTCCAACCCTAACCAGAAACATGAGATGTCATCTGTTTTCTTTGAAGTTTATTCATGGTGTATATTACAATAATTTATTAACTATAATATCTGATTAAACAAATCTCCCTATTCTTCAGTATCTGTGGATAAATGAAATTTATCTGTTCTTTTGCACTCACCTAATTTTAGAAGAATAAATCAATCTTAAATCCTTATAGATAACTTCTTAGTAAATGTTCTGTTTAGCTTCACTTGACAGAGGTTTGTTTTGTTTTGTTTAAACAGCAGTTTGAAATATCAGAAAGGTACTTTAGGCTTGAACCCATCTTTTCTTTAACAAGTAGTACCTGAAATTTTATGAATCACATGTGGAACAAATATAACATGTATACTTGTCTCATTCTACCTTTCATCTTTGAGATCATAGCCTAAATTATTTAACCCCTTTATGTCATTTAAAAAAAAGCATTGTAGAATTACATCATCTGCCTCACATTGTGATTTATAAATATAGAAGAAATACAGCTTTTAGATTGAATGTGAGGCTTTAGAATCTAATTGTCCTCAATGTCCTGTGTTATATGTGTGGAGAAGTCAAGTGTGCCAGGAGCTGTGCTAGTCGCTGGGGGGAGGAAGAAAAAAAAATGAAAAGGAAACCTGTTCTGGGCCTCAAGGAGCTTACATTTTATTGACATAAAATAATGTGGAATGTCTAAGGAAGAAGCGGCTGCAAAACCAAATCAAACCAAAACACAACCATAGCTGTAGAACTTTTCCAAGCAGTACTTTAGTCTTGAAAGTTGATTCAGATTGCATGAAAATGCATCTAATTTTCTCTAAATCATTTTAGTACCCAAATTATATTTATGGTTAGATTCAAGCAAGAGAAGCTAAGAGTTTGGGCATGTTCTACAAAGATGAATTTTCCGTCTTAGTTGCCTTGTTGAATCCTCACATTTGCTTATTGAGAATTAAAAATCTCTACAAAGTACTTGGAGGGGCAGGGTAATAAAACCCCTTTAAATTCAATCTAGGTAACTTGTCAGAGCTTAGGTAGATATCATGCTATGGTCAAGTTGAGCCACTCAGTAGAGGTGGTACTGCTAACTCTTCAGAACTTCCAGAAGATTGCTGGGGGCAACACAGAGCCATAATTCTTCTATTTTCTCTGCCTACTCCATATCTTGGGTCTTTTGACCCAGCTTGCTTTGTGTTCAGTTCTGGAGCCCTCTTGGACTTTGTCTTCTTGGGTTTGTTCTTGCTCATGGTCAAATCTAAATCACCTTTGCTTATTCTTCTAAGTTTAATTTCCCTAGGGAGAATGAACTTAACTTTATAACCTTGCTTGAAATCTCTCCTGTACCTACAAATTAACAATGAATCTGGTTACTTTAACCCTTCCCTTTTGCTGCCTTTCCCACCCCCCACTACCACCCCCAAAAGAGAATGGTGGACAGAATATATTGTCATGAAGTAGGACACACTGTTCATTACAATTGATTTCTGAAATGTGGCTCCAGTAACTGTGATCCTCCAGACAATATCTTGAGATATCAGCTAACTTCTTCCATTCCTGGTTCCCTTGGTATATGGCACTGAGTTTAGTTATTAAGTGCTTTAGCTACTGGGAGAGGAGTAGGTAGGATAGGGAGAGGTAGGCAGAAATCTACCTTTAATACAAGTACCCACTTGGAGGAATATTTTAAACTATTATTGAACAAATGAAATAATTTGATGCACATCTGATAGCTTTAGAAATTTTATGAACAGTAATAACTATTTCTAACAATTCTTTTTAAAAGAATGTGGGGAAGACCACAGAATTGTTATGGCCAGTGAATTATCTCAAACTAACCTTCAAATACTTAGGGATTTGGAGAATACCAAACACATTTCACTTAAGCATTTTTCCATCATTTTGAAACTGTGTGTATTTCAGGGGAAATTTAATCCATATGTTACCGATTCATTGGCATTCAATTTATCAAATTACTGGTTTGTGAGAGCAATTTAATCCATAAGCAAGTCTAATAAACTTTTTTTTGGTAAATGTTTTAAAGCCTTACTTTCTTTTAACTTAATGCTACATCTAACCAGT